TAGTATAATATAATGTCTTAATTTTTCTAATGGGATCCTTAGATGCTTGAGAGGGAATGGAATTGACTAGCCGAGTTTAAATTCAGTGGGCGAGAAGCCAGTGCTGCTTTCGATTGAATTATCTAGAATATTTCTCTAAAAATAAATTTTCAGAGTAATAGTTTTCTCAGGCCTAGTATTGGTGGGGGTTTCTTTTATTTAAAATAGTGTGGAACGTCAACATTCTTATTTTCTCTATTAGTTATATGAGATATCAATTTTAGCTGTTGCTGAAAAATCTCTAGTGATTTAGTTTCTATTATTTGGTAGACGTCTCTATTTCTGAGGTGAGGTATTATGTACACTATTTAAATTATTTGGACTATTGTCCTCAACTTTGTTGCCATATTTATCACAACGTTGTACGCTCCGGCCTTCTTCATGTGGTTGGAATGTCAAACTGAACCCTTTTTTTTTTTTTTGCTCACTGGGGTAGACTGTTCTAGTTGCACGTGGTATGCCTAATGGATGTCAGTTATCAGTTATCTCCTGTTAATTCCCCTCTTCAAGTTCTCCACCACCTTAACTAGGTATTGAACTCAAACTCTTTGGGTCCTGTCACTGAATCTAACTAATGCCTTCATCCACTGGGCCATGTGTCCTTACAGTGAGCAGAAATAAAGGGTTCAGTTCGATATTCCAACCACCTGAAGAAGGCCGAAGCGTACAACGGCCGAAACGTTGTAATAAATATGGCAACAAAGATAAGGACAATAGTCCGAATAATGTAACTAGTGTATTTGGTAGACTCCTTTGTTTGTGATTATGTAGCGCTAGTCCACAATGTTCGAAGAAGCATGGTCTTTGCCAAGATAAGAACGTTTCAATCGCTCAAAGCCATTTTTAGCAATGGATCATAGAAAGAATTTAGTTATTTTTGAACGGGTTTCGCACCACACATGACATCCATATGACAAGATTATTCAAGAACATGACTCAAGTTTTAAGCTAATGTTTTAGTTTTGCAGTAATTTGCGTTGTTGGCTGAAACTATCCTAACTAACGAAGTCTATTCTATGCTTAATTTCTTAATCTGCAAAGCTTATTTTTTCTAACTGATCCCCACACCGGGTTATTTACAGTGTTTAATATTTCCTAGTTCCAAATCCTGAAATGTTAAGATGTACTCGGGGTATGTGCTATTACGAGTGAAAAACAAATTTCAGTCGTAATTTTGAGTTTGAGACTAGCTGACTAAATATTGTTCTTCAACGAAACGATTTTGAAATTTTAGTTGCAATTGGTTATTTTTCTTGCTTACCAGTTCATATGAAGTTTTTAGTGTTCCAATTTAAATAAAGCAGAAATGAAAGATGCCTTCCAGAAGTTAAACAAAATATTAAGAAACAGAAAATTTCATAAAAAGCAACGAAAAGAGTGCAATTAAACTGCAATTTAATATCACTCTTCCTAGATGGCTGTGAATGAAAAGTAGACGAGGCAACAGAAGTGTCTTTCTATAGAAGGATTCTGAGAATATCATGGACGGAATATGTGAGCAACGAAGAAGTTTTAAGGAAAATGGGAAGAAAAAAAACTTGTACTTAGAATTAGAAAAGGATTTTTGAAACTTGTTGGGTATATAATAAAGAAACCCAGCTTGGCGAATTTGACACTCACAGTACATATTAATTTCAAGTGTGGTAAAGGGAAACAGCGAGTAACCTAACTAGCGAGTCTGCGTAAATCGGTTGAAGAACAAGGAATCGGAGATATAGCAAGCGGACAAAATTACTCAGATATACGAAATATAGGAAGTTGTAGAGAGCCATGAACGCCAACATTCTGAAGAGATACGTCATATAAAAGATGTACGGATTAATACTTTTGTCCAATTATATGTTGTTTGCATTCCTTCCAATTTCAGTAGATGACGAACTCTTGAGATTTTAACCTTCTACCTTTCAGATCAGTACTGGACGATAACGGCGCTGACCACATTTAGTAGAATGTGTGTATCAGGAGCTTCTTCAATTATCTATCTTTATACCTGCGAACTTTATCCTACATGCATTCGAAATTCTTCAGTGGGATTTTTCGGCGCCTTTGCGAGGGTTGGAGGGGTAATCTCACCCTACATTATGGACATCGTATGTATGACGTATTTTCGGATATAATACGAGCCACATAACTAAACTTATCATTCGAATTTTAATAAACAGGCTTCTTAGAAGAACTAGATTGGAAATTTGTGTTGATGGATATGAATGAATAGCAGAACAAATAAAATATTTTAATGAGCCAAACAGGAGGTTGTAGAAAATCATAACCCCCTACATCATGAAAGATAAAAAGTGGACGCTGATATAAATCAATATTATTATTATTATTATTATTATCCATATATATATATATATATATATATATATATATAAAGAGAGAGAGAGAGAAGGTGAAAGACAGGCAGGCAGGGAGACAGAGAGAGCGAGGCAGACAGACAGAGTGAGAGACAGGGACAAAGAGGGAGAGACCAATATTCAGACACATATGGACAGAGTATGTGCAACAAGGAAGTTTTAAGGAAAATGTAAATAAAAACACATTTAGAACCAGAAAGAGATTAGTTTAAATTTCTGGACACACAAAAAGAAAGAGAGCTTAGAGAATTTGACACTCACAAAACATATTAAGTGCAATAGAGACAGTGTGTAACTTACTAAGCTTGTTAACGGATTGAAGAACATGAAATGGGAGGTATAGTAAAGAGACAAATTACTGAAAGCACCGAAGGATAGGAAAATGTGGAGAGCCTTCATTACACACATCTTGAAGAAATTCTATAAATAATGTATATGGAGGAATTTAAATTATTTTTTTTAATACTGGTTAATGCTTTTGTTTCATAGTATTCTATTTTTATATCGTATGTATATTTTAGATATGGTTTTATAAATATGGTTTTATACATCATAGAAAAATTTTATATAAAATCGGTTTATTTTTATAATTAAACTGAATTGATAAAAAATATTTTTATTCATATGTCTACATTTTCCTAGAAATTCATTCTTTTTGTTTCATAATTTACTTTGACCTTTCACGCACACATACACGCACACACACACACACACATATATATATATATATATATATAGTAAAATCTGATGCCTATATATATATATATATACAAACTAAAGGCTATATATACTAAAGTATATATATATATATATATATATATATATATATATATATATATATAATATAGTCTGCAGTTTTTATTATACATACATATATATAGATTACAGATTTTACTATATATATATATATATATATATATATATATATATATATATATATATATATATATATATATATATATATATTTTATGGGGAAATGATATATACATTTTATATATCAAGATCAATTTAGGGAAAACTATTAAAGTATAGGAGGAATCATAGTGTGACGAGTAGAACTTAATCGCACTAAAGTGATCTTTACGTTGATGAAACTATACATGCACACTTAGGAAAAGGTTTCACTGAGAATTATGAATTAAAACAAAAATTAGATACATATTTTTTTATATAATCTAGTCGGTTTTATTTTCTTCAGATATTAATTTCTTTTTTCCTTTATTAAGTAGCATTTTTAAAAATCAAAATACTAGCCAGTCTCATTACTTTATTTATTTACTTAACTACTGCATTTATTGCCTTGTTTTGTAAAAGAATCCTTTTGTGTCTACATAAACTTTTATTTAAATTCTTTGTGATTTTCTTATGTATATATTGTGGTCATTATTACAGCTAATAAAGTAAATTCCCCTTTCAATTTTAGGTTATTATTTTGTTTTTCATTAATTAAGTTTCTTTTTTTTTTTTTGTTTTAGAAATAGTTTGAACAAATTTTATATTAAGTTTTTATCTTCCATTTTCATCGTGCATTTGGTCAATTAGTAAATTCTAATATTATTCGCACTAATGCAACAAGAAAATAACAAAAAATACATTTACATTTGCATTAATAACGAATATGGAAATCACGTAAAATCTTGAAGAATTAACTGGTAATACGCTTCACCAAACTGAATGGTCCGTTTTTAATATAAGTTTTCTTTTTCTTTTCCGTCAGTCAACTTTGGTTCCTGGGCGAGTGGGTAAAAGTCTCCCTTTGATGGTGATGGGATTTACATGCTTCGTATCTGGGATTTTAATTATCTTTCTACCTGAAACAACTAACAAACCGATGCAAGATACTCTTGATGAGGTGATGAATAACAAACACACAAATAACAGGTAAGATCTTCTTAATTAATAACGCACCTTCTGGTAATGAAACATAAACGATGAGTCTTCAGTTTGAATGAATTCATTTTCGGCCTTTCTTTTATCAAAATACAACTTCCAAAATCAGTATTCTTCTGGGGGGATTATATAAAGATATTGATTTGCGGAATAGAAACAAGCTGATACATTTTCAACATTCTTCTTGTACAATATATTATGATAAAATCATCGATATATCGATAAGCTTTAATCTGTAAAAGTTTAAATACAATGTCAATCACTATCTAATGTCCACCTGATTACTATCTTTTCTTTCTGTTCATTATTAATGTTTCTGTTCCTAATTCTTCCACACCCTGTAACCCCTTGTGTTTTAGTGATATTACTGGCTTACTTAGGGTGATTTCGATAAGAAAAAGAAGCTTATAAGTATCTATTTATATATTCATGGTGTGTCGAACATTTCTAATCCTCTTTGAAATCTTGACTTCTGCAACAGGTTACCTTACATCTCACGGATCCAATACTTATTCTTACCTACTTATATATCAATGATAAATATAGAGATTTACGTGTTCCTACAAAGTCATTTTCTAAAGGTCTCACAAAATAACTCACCTCCTTCAGATTTAATGACCTAATTTTCAGTCTTTTTTTTTTTTAAATACAACTCGAATCTAAGACTCGCCAACTCCCAAATTCAATATTATTTTTGTTTATCACGATATTGATTCGGGGAATATTATCAAGCTGAAAACTTTTCAGTATCCCTCTCGTACAATATATTATGATAAAATCATAGATATACTGATAAGCTTATTAGTATCTATTTATGTATCCATTAAGTTCTAACACAGACTAACGAAATATAAAATTAAAGTACATAAGAAAATATCCACAACAAAATCATCAATTCATTTTCGCTTAAAGATTACCTTTCCTTATACGGTAAAGTTTTACAATATTTTGGGAAAATTTAAGGTTACTTTATTTTTCTTCACGTTACGTTTGTGTATAAATACATGACAATAAATAAAATTTCTAAAACGATCATTAATAATCATTAATGTTTCTGTTCCTAATTCTTCTACACCTTGTAACCCCTTTGTATTTTAGTGGTATTACTGCCTTACTTACAGTTATTCTGATAAAAAGAAGTTTATAAGCATCTATTTATGTATTCACGGTGTGTCGAACATTTCCAACCCTCTTTGAAATCTTGACTACTGCAACAGGTTACCTTACCTCTCACAGATCCAATAATTATTCTTACCTACTTATATATCAATGATAAATATAGAGATATACGTGTTCCTACAAAGTCATTTTCTAAAGGTATCACAAAATAACTCACCTTCACATATAAACCCATCGATCAGACTTAATTTTCAGTTTATTTTTTTTAAATACGACTCGAACCTAAGACTCGCCTACTCTCAAATTCGATATTCTAATGCTTTTTTTTTTTCGTTACGATATTGATTCGTGTAATATCATCAAGCTGAAAACTGTTCAGCATCCCTCTCGTACAATATATTATGATAAAATTATAGATATACTGATAAGCTTATTAGTATCTATTTATGTATCCATTAAGTTCTAACACAGACTAACGAAATATAAAATTAAAGTACATAAGAAAATATCCACAACAAAATCATCAATTCATTTTCGCTTAAAGATTACCTTTCCTTATACGGTAAAGTTTTACAATATTTTGGGAAAATTTAAGGTTACTTTATTTTTCTTCACGTTACGTTTGTGTATAAATACATGACAATAAATAAAATTTCTAAAACGATTTTTGACGGCTAATAAAACAGATCGTGCAAAAGTGGAGGTTAATACGTTTAAATCGAGTAGATTTTCCAAATAAAGTAGTAAGAAAACAAAATAGAACAGAAATTGTTAATAGATAAATAAAAATATATGTATATATCATTATTTTCATTTGTATTTATCTTCTCTCTCTCCCTCTCCCTCTCCCTCTCTCTCCATATATATATATATATACATACATACATACATATATATATATATATATATATATATATATATATATATATATATATATATATATATGGCGAATCTCGACACCTGAAGATTGCATTAACTGCATGAAACTCCGAGTCGTGTCATCAACGTTGGATCTTATATATATCCACTAATATAGATAGATAGATAGAAAGAAAGAAAGAATTACATGCGTATCAAATCAGTGGTGCGAAATAAAGTGCTAAATTTTCAAATTTTTGAAGTTTTCTACCGTTTCTCGTAGAAAAGGGACACAAAGTTACATACACTTGGATTTCAACAAATTTATTCATACTTTAATTATCATAATTACGGAGATAACTGAGAGTATATTGACATAGATAGATAGATAGATAGATAGATAGATAGATAGATAGATAGATAGATAGATAGATAGATAGATAGATAGATTTTTGCCTCAATCTCTCTTTTCATTGTCGTTATTCTTATAATTTTTCTTTTAAATTTATGAAATATTTTTATTACGTTTTATACAATTATGATGCCTTTTTTAATAACTTCATCAAATATATTTCTTTCATTTCAGCGAATGCAAAGGAGAAATGGATGAAACACTCGAACTCAATGCGGTGGCATGAAAAATTAGAAAAAAAATGTAGTCTTTTCAAACTTCTTAAAGCATGGGGGTGACATATTTCTCTTTGTGTTCTAAATGATGTTGTTTCGTGATTATTGCTATTGGAAATTCAATCTTTCAAACAATTCATAAACAACATTGTTTGTCCACCAGAGCGATTTCTTTAAATAATAAATAATGAAAAATCAACATTAAATTGTTTTTATTACACAACCACCGCACAATCTCGTTAACATGCCACATATCGATCAACATATCACTCGAAACTAAAGGACAATTAAAATAACACTAATAAGATTAAACACAGTGTCGTAGAGGCATTCATTAAAAACCTTATTAGCAGCAGCTGCCGTTTTCTCCACTAAGCAAATACGTAAAAATTATGTAAAGAAGACTGTTAAGATTTTCAAGATACCAGCCCTTTGTCAGACAACATCTCGAATGACAAAATAAATAATTGACCATATGTCGAATCCCGCCACAGTGGAGGGAGCCATGACTAAATACCCATGCATTCCGCTGCCCCGATGACTATGATCAGTAAGTAATATCTGTTCCGTTAAGACAAGCTTTGTGTCTGGTCCCACGTAAGCGGTGCCTGGGTAGATTTCGACCTATGATCCAAGTGCACAGGTTCGCGTTCCACACGTTAAAAAACTGATATTGTGTCGCATCTCGTCACAGTGGCGGGGAGGGACCTGGGTAAATACCCATGCGTTCCGCGGCCCAGGTGACTATGATCAAAATGTAGTATCTGTTTTGCGGCCATGATCAGCTAAGACTAAGTTTCTGTCAGATCCTGCATAAACGGGGTCTGGGTAAATTTTGACCTATGACCCGAGTGTGCGTACTGGAGTTCCCCAAAGTTAAATAACTGAGTTTGTGTCGCATCCCGCTCAAGTGTGTGGAGACGGGAATGAGTAAACACCCATACATTCCCGTCCCCGATGAATAGGATTAAAATGTAGTATCTGTTCCGCGTCCTTGACCAGCAACGATAAAAATTTATGCCCGATCCCGCGTAAGCTGGAGCTGGGTAAATTTTGACCTATAATCCAAGTGCAGATTAATGCAATCTTCAGGTATCGAGATTTGACCTATGAAACGAATGTACGCGCTCTTGTTCCCCACGTTACATAACTGACCTTGTATCGCATTCTTCACCAGTGGTTGCACGCGTTCTGCAGCCCAGATGACTACGATCAAAGGGCAATATCTGTTCCGCAACTAAGTCAAGTTTTATGAACGGTAAATTTTAACCTATGTTCCGAATGTACGCGCTCGGTTTCCCCACGTTAAATAAGTGACCTTGTGTTGTATCCCGTGACAGTGTGGGGGTGTGTAAATACCCCGGTGTCCCGCGACTCCGATGACTATGATCAACGTGTAGTATCCTTTCCGTTGCCATAATCAACGAAGACATGTTTTGTGCCTGATCCCAAGTAAGCGGTGGCTGGGTAAATTTTGACCTATGACATGCGTGTATGCACTCGGGTTCCCCACGTTAAATAAATGACTTTGTGTTGCCTTCCAATCCAGTGGGGGAGCCATGTGAAAATACACATGCGTTACGCGTATCTGTCTTCTGGCAGAGTGCGACTCAGTTGTGGCCTCTGTTTTTCGGTCTGTCGTAGCTGAGGACAATAATTCTTTGAGGTTCCCGGCGCCGCGGAACAGCTGCCGAGGCCACACCCTCTCATTACACTAGAAAGGGGATCTGTGATCGCCACCGAAGCCAGAGCAACTGACGGTTGCGGGAGCGTGTGTAATTTTTGTACTTTGCCTGAGTGTACGCGCTCGGGATCCCCACTTTGAGCATGAACTTGTTTCACATCCCGTTTCAGTAGGAAGGCATGGGTAAATTCCTATACGTTCTAGGGCCCAGATGACTGGGACCAAAGTGTAGTATCTGTTCTAACAGCAGCCTCCAGCCAGCTCACGCCTCCAGCCATCAGCAGCAGTTCCAGCTAGCAAGCCATCATAATTTCTAGCTTACCATCGGCCGTCGCTCAAACTATTTCAACTAGGTCTCCAGCTCTTGCCGCTCCAACCAGCTCCAGCTATCTCCAACAGGATTCCCGCTTCAGCTACACTATATATGCAATAAAGTGTCTTTTTCAGGACAATGCTCTTCAGCAACCACAAAATTGTCCTTCTCAGCACAACACTCCCCAGCGACTACCAAAACTGTCCTTCTCAGATCACAGTTCTCAAACGACAACGAAACTGTCCATTTCAGGACAACGCTCTCCAGCAACTACCTAAGATGGACTTCTCAGGACAATGCTATTCTCACCTTCTACATGAATTTGCAGAGTTACTTTTTTGCCTAGTCTACTGTACAGTTATTTTGTTTATGGATGTTTCTTTAGCAAAAATAAATTTAGCAATATATATTTTATAAACAAGTTTTCGTTTGGTTTGTTACCTTCTGTCATTCAATATCTGTTTACGGGTCAATATACCACCCGCAACACCATAAGAACATTCCTTAAATTTACATACACTTCCAGGAATTATCCTTGAACTCTCCTTATACTAAAAGTCCTTGATAGAATAACAATTTTTATCTCATTTTTATCGTTTTTTTCCAATCTACAAATAAAGTTTTGTTCGTCAGTACGCAGCACATAATAAACCTCAAAACCTACCAAGAACAACAACGGTATCTTTTGCTACATAGGAATGCATTTTAAAATTTTTGTAAAAAAATTCTTTTAATTTTCTTCCTTGGATGCTGTAAAGTTTGTAGCCCATAAATGACTAAATATATTTAAAATTGAAAATTTATATCCATTACATAGTTACAAATTCTACACCAAACGTCTTTGTATTCGTGACAGGTATATTTAAAATAAAATTATAGCATTACTGTAAATTCAGTTGCTGAATTCAATTAAAAAAAAATTCCCGAATCTAGAAAATAACATTAATCTTCCTGATAATTACTAGAGATGATCGAATACGATGCAAAAAAAAAACTTTCCTTTTCTGCCGTTGAAGCAGCTATTCACACATAACAAGACGCTTTTCGACGTCCCTCGGCTTCAACTCGTAGGACACTCAATGTCCATGCTTTTGAATCATTCCTAATGCTTTTAAACGTTTCGAAATTGTTGCGCGATCAACTCCTGATAATTCTGCAAGGTCAGCTTGCGCCTAACATGAGTCTTCATGAATTAATGCTTCCAATCCTTCGTCTTCATTTTTTTCTGTGCGCCAGATAGTTCGTAATCTTCAACGTCAAATTCATTATTTTTGAAGCGTCTAAACCAATCTCTGCGTGTTATTTCCGACAGAGCATAACTGCCGTAAGTCTCAACAAAAAATATGTGTTCTTCAGCTTCAGATTTCTTTTGAATAAAGTAATGCAGGAATATTCTTCGCAAATACTCTTTCTTTGGCACGAAATCCGACATGTTTAACGCTATGAAAAAAAAAGTTGTTAACACTTCGGTGAAATGACATACACTGACTTCAAGCTTGATTATAGTACTTCCTTATAGATGTGTTACATCTGAAACTACACAAACGTAGTTCTGGGAACGCCATCTGTTGGAAAACAGCGAAAACTTATTCAAGGCCCTCATATATCAGGTCATTCCATAAGTTCTGTCAGAATTTTGAACAAAGAAAACAAGTGACCAAATGTTACATTTAATTACAGATTCAATCAACAATGTATTTTCCCTGATTATCTATGACTTTCTTCCATCTATTAACAAGCTTACTAATTCCATTACTGCAAAATTCTTTTGGCTTTGATTCGAAGAACTCAAAAATGTCAGTTTTAACCACTTCCTGTGTTACAAAAACTGTTTCTTCCAAATGATTCTGTAAGCTACGAGACAAATATGGGCAAAATATTGTGATGGGTGTATAAACATGATAACGTACAATAATTATTGATTATAGCCTAAGCGCATTGAAAGTTTGCAGCCGTGTCTCTCATAGAGTGGGGGGGGAGAGAGAGTAAAGAGACATAGAGTGGGGGAAGGGAGTGGAGGGAAATCGATGGGGAAAAGAGAGTGTAGATGGTAGTCTGAAGGAGCAAGATCAGGAGAATAAGGTGGATGAGGAATTTTCTCCCAACCAAGTTCTTCAATCTTTTGTAACGTGATTCTTGCTAGGTGGTGTCGCGCATTGTCCTGATGAAACATCACCTCTTTTCGATTCACTAGAGCAGGTCTTTTTTCCTCAAAGCTTGGTTCAAACGCTCTAATTGCTGACAGTATATTTGAGCATTAATTGTTGCATTAGGTGGTAAGAATTCAAAGTGGATTATTCCTTGGCAATCCCACCAGATTGAAGAAACTTTTGCCCATGAAGTTCCCTTCTCGGCTGTGGCTGAGGTCTTTCCCCTTTACCAAGCCACTGTCTACGACGCTTAACATTTCGATAAAAGATCCATTTTTCGTCGCCAGTCACAAGTCTATCCAAAAAAGGTGAAACAAGTTGGCGAGAATGGAGAGAAGAGCAGATGTCAACTCAGATTTGAAGTTGTTTTCAGACAATTCATGAGGGTACCCATTTTCTAAGTTTAGAACTTTTCCAAGTTGTTGAAGATGACGATGAACAGTTGTATGGTTTAAACTGAGAACCACTGCCAATTCCTCAACTAATAAAGTAGGATTTTCTTCAAGGGCTGCTTCAAGAAGCTTTTCATCAAACTCAACTGGATGTCCGGTTCGATCTTCATCTTCGGCTGCTGAGTTTCTTTTCTTGAACTCATAAATCATTATGTACCTCAAATGATTCTTGGGCACTTCCATGTTAGCAGGGTTTTAATCAAACAAAATTTAATTTTATTGTTCTCTGAAATAAAATTTGATCAGTTTAAATGCATCTAAACATAAAAAATAATGTTCAGCTCCATTAGACATTATAAAATACTCTTTAAATTTCGTTCATTTTAACAAAAAGTTAAAATTGGACAGAACTTATGGATGACCAGATATATATATATATATATATATATATATATATATATATATATATATATATGATAAAAAGTTAATGGGCACAGTTGAATTAGACTAGAAAACAGTAGTATTAGGAATTGCTCAATAGAATTATAAAATAATAAAAGAATCAACAGATACAAATGGACAGAAAAAATATACATAGGATGGACTGATGGTAGCTAGAAAGTCTTAGGAATTCTACTATACTAGCTAACTATGCGTGAAAATTAAAAGAAGAAATAGAAAGATTTTAAAAAAGGCAAACAATACAACAATCATAGTAATATCTGCAACCTTTGTCAACAAGGAAAGTTGGCTATAATAACATTTCCAGGCCAAAAGATCCTTTTGAATGAGAAATCTGAAATTATGACCCGTTGCATAGATACATTTCTATTGAATTCATAAGATTCGGGATGAAAAGAAAGTATGTAAATTTCATTTATCCCCCCTCCACCGATACATTTCCAATGCACTTACTTTTTTCCTCCTCCTCCTCCCCTTCTACCACACCACACGTTAAATAATATAGTATTCATGGATTTTTTATATTTTTGTAAAAAAAAAAAAATAAAGCGTTAGAAAATCTGCTGACGAAAATCGCCTGAAGATACCAAAAGGTTGAAAACAGGGTCGCGGAATAGGCTGATATATTTTTCAGATTGTATTAGATAGCTTGCGTATCTTTCAATGGTTAGTGACCAAGATTTGATTTTCACACATCTTGCAGATTAAACAATTGCCGACTGTTGACATGTACTTATTAATGCCATGTGTCTCTAACATGAAGGCGATCACTGTTTTCCACAAATCTTTATTATCTGGAAATTGCCATGTCTTCATAGGAAAGATAGTGGAATGGTTACTCATTGCCTTCTCAAAAGGTTTTGAATTTACAGTTGTCATTCTTCAAGACAGGCTGCCACCCAAGACTAAAATGCCTAGTCTACGTTACTATATAATCCATAGCTGGGAGGCTAAGTAACAGATTCCAGATATTTTTGACCAAGGAGGCGTAAAGTGTTAATCTCCTGATGGAGGGTAAAAATGATGATTAAATGCTAGCAGTTTCATTTTTGTGGCGTTAAAATTTATAAACCATTTCTTACCTCAGTTCACAACTAACTGGATGTAAATTTCGAGAGCAACTGTCAGTTTTACTTTGTCGCGCCTATAGGAGTTACCATTAAGACAGAAGTAAATAGTTGTGTAATCAGCATAAATACGCAGATGGAAACTGATGACATCGGGAAGATCGTTGACGAAAATAAGAAACGAGGTAAACCGAGGCTTAGGCGTCCCACACATTTTTTGTAATTATAACATTCAAGATACTAAAAATTCAGATTAATCAAGAAAATCTTTTGAATAGATATTGTTTTATGTTTATTTCTTAATTGATAATTGAATAAAAAATTATGTCCGATAATCGTAGTTTCTTTTCAATGCCTTATTGTATTTCAAGGGAAGTAATTCGTTGCACACATTATTGACTTGATAGTCTAAGGAAGACAAATAAATTTAAAAGTAAAACGTCAAGCAAATAAAAAGTATTAAAAATGAAATTAATTTAATGGAAAATAAGAGATAAAACGTTTAATATTTATGAAAGAAATGATCGAAATTCTTAAGATATGTTTAAATTAGTATCAAGATGGATATAAAACGTTAATTTAATTCTGTCTTAAGTAAAAGGTTAAGTATTACTTTTAGAAAATTCAATTAATTAATCGTTAAATTTACTAACAGACTTCGAAACATATTTCTAGAATAAATATTGGATTTTAAAGAGAATTCTAGATTTGCTAACAGTTTCGTATACAATAGCGATTCGATTAATTGATCAGTGATAAAAAAAAGTATTAATGCATTAAAAATGCATGAAAAATTTATTCTTACAGGAAAATTATGTTTTTCTTTTCAACTTTCTAATATCAGCCTTGAAATCTTTAAAATATATACACAAAGGCCTTCTTCTAAAATGTTTTGATTTCATTACTCCTAGAGTAGGAGTCATTGTGAATTTAATCCATTTATGTTTTGTAATTAAATTTTTAATTCCTTTCAATAAATATACATAATTATTTATGCTTCTCTACAATATATAAGTTTATAAGATTTAGATATTTTAAATTGTATCATTTTATTCACTTTTGCGGATTTAGGCTTGTCCCAGAGTCGCCCCGTTGGTTGATGAGTGTAAATAAAATAAAACATGCTGGAAAAATATTAAATAAAATGGCGGAAATAAACAAGAGTAATTTTCGTTATGAATGCTTTAAAAATGCATGAAAAATTTATTCATCTGGGTAAATTAATTTTTCTTTTCTACTTTCTAATATCAGCCATGAAACTGAATGTATATATATATATATATATATATATATATATATATATATATATATTGTTGGATGGACGTCGACGAAACTTAAGGTTTGCAACCCTGTAGAATGAAGCATAAGATAACTTTAGGTGGTGACTCAATAAAATAAGCGTGCAGAAGACAACAGGAAACACACAATACCAATAAAATTCATAACAATAGGAATATCTATAGTTTTAAAGAAAATGCAAACAAAAAGGACACTTATGCATAGCATAAGAATGATACAGCCAAAGTATCAAGGGAACATAATGTGATAAAAGGTCTTTGAAAATTTGACACTCACAGAACATATTGTAGGCAAGAGGCAAACAGAGCATAACGAAATTAATTAATTTGTGCAAATACTTTTTAGAAGTGGTTTTAATTGATTCGTTTTCTATGATTTATCAACCTTTTGCAGGTTATGCAAAGCTAGAAATATTTTTAGATATAAGAAATTTTTTTTGAGAAAAATATAAATGTTTTAGCGATATAAATCTTACTAATTAATCCATAGCTCGGGGAGAAGAGAGGGTCCATGTCTTTCCCAAAGTTATTTGCGCGTAAGTGAATATAACGAACCCAACTGGAACTGCAACTCGAATCTCCAATTAAGAATTCCGAACCATTATCCATTACACTATTCGTCGATCCAAGAATACAGCCCTTGATGTTTCCAAGCGATCACCCCTCTACGTACTGTTCAGGTTCGATGATGCTTAACTTCGGTGATCGTATGGGAATCTGTGTTTCAAAATGAGATGGTCGTAAGTTCTGGTAGAACAGGGATTAGGAGCGAGCAAAAATAGTTTATTAAGACATTAAATTTTGTAAAGTCAGTATCGCCCACGTCCTAAAATGACACATCCCTTCTAAAGATAGAACATAGCAAGAATAGTCAGGTACTTACTAGAATGGTACAAGGAACCGACCATTTTTTCCACCATCTTTAACGATGAATCGTATATATGAGTTCCACTTGATGTCTGAGACCCAATAGACGTTGAAAGCAAGGAACCTCATTGAGAGTTTAGCCGTTCATCAGGATGACAGGCTCGGTTAATTTAGATTTTAGAAGATGTGTACATACACTGTGGTAACATTTCCATAGTTATTTACTAAAGATCTCAGTACGCTCTTATACAGCTTGTTAATCTAAATCAGAAAGTGCACAGAACCGAGAAGAGAGCCTTAGGGAACGCCTGCATTTATCTTATGGGCATCATATGACTGGCAATTACCAACGACTTTCATGGACCTGTTAAGAAGGACTTGATAACTGAGACAACTCATTCAGAGGTATCTTAAAAATTAACTTATTGTCTCTTACCTCATTAATTCTGGAATGATGAAAGTTAGGACATCAGCAGTGCTGATGAAACTAAAGTGATGGGTAAACTGATGTGTTTATATTACGACGGGTATGATTACTCATCAGAATTCCTGAGAACAGAGTATGCATCTGATACCTCCCATAGAATTCACCCCCAGAATGTGGTTAAACAATTTTTCAAAGATTTGAGATAACACTGAGCTCATTTTCTTAAGAACAACCACTGGGATTTTATCCAGACCCGAAGCCTTCCTAAATTCAAGGATTTTGATAAGTCTGGAAAATTTCCGTGCCGTCTTAGAGATATTATAAGGTTTGCAATCAATAAGAGGGGTCGTAAGTAAGTTAGGGGCACCCGTTACTATTTTACGTGAAATTAAAGACGAAGTACATAGCAAAGAGCCTTGTCTTAGCTGAAGCAGATGAAATAAACTCAGACTCATTTATGATTGTAAGCACTTTGCCTCTAATCAGAATATACTGAAATTTTCCGCACCCAGCTTGGACTGAGTGTCCATTAACATCTGTTTGCATTCTTTAAAACCCTTGCAATGATTACGGGTACTTTTGAATGCAGTAAAAGTTCTACTACAGTGTTCTCTGATACAGATGGTCGTTGGGGTTATGGTGAACTATGGCTACAACCTGTTCTGAGATGAACAGAGGCTGCTTATTTGGTTTCGTATTTTTTTGGTGGGGTAATTGTTTTTTGTTTTGTTTTTTTTGCTGTTGTTTTTTTTTTTTCGTTTTTTTTCTAGGGCTGAAACTTTCCCAGCTATAATGAATTAATACAGAAAGGAGTGGGGTTATTCTAGATGCTCTATTATTTTAAGACAGCTGAAAGGAGATCTGTCTAAGATCTAATAATTATTATAACCTTAGTTATATTAATTACTATTATAACCTTGGTTATAATAATTATTTAATACTTTAATGTTAAGGTTGGACTAAAATAGAATTACTCCTACCAGACCGGAAATCGGTAGAATCAGTAAAACCAACCAATCCATAAAAAGCATTCTTGGACGCTTACAGTGGATTAATACCACTGATGTTATCTACTGGTTTACTAGCATCCAAAATAAGGACAACTGCACTTTCATACAGTCCGACATTATTGACTATTATCCTTCCATATCTAAAGATCTGTTCACTTTGGCCTTGGAGTTCGCTCTGGAATACTCCAATATTTCTGAGAATGAAGTGGATATAATCATGAAATGCCGAAATTCTGTTCTGGCTTACAATGAAGAATAGTGGACCAAAAAGTCTTTCACCGATAATTTTGACATTTCAATGGGTTCTTTAGATTCTGCTGAAGCCTCTGACTTGGTGGGATTATTCCTTTTATACAAATTAAGTGCCTTTGAATGTCTAGATTCTGATAGTGTAAGCTTATATAGAGATGATGGCTTATTAGTTTTTAAAAACCCTACAAAGGTTAAGGTAGACCATATTAAAAAAATGATCCATAGAAAGTTTAAGGATTTAGATCTTGAGATCATAGTTACGGCTAACATTAAACAGGTAGATTTTCTGGACGCCACCATAAACCATACTAGAAGCTCTTTTCAAACTTATATGAAGGTTAATTCTAATCCAGTATATGTACATCCCCATCCCAACCATCCCCCTTCCGTTATCAAGCATGTACCCTCCTCCATTGAATTTAGGATAAGTACTAACTCTTCTAACAAAAAAGTTTTTAATAAACATCGTGAATTTTACAATTCTGCCCTTAGAAATAGTGGCTACAAAAGTACCACTATTCAATATAGAAATCCTGTTAATTATGGCCACAATAAGAAAAGAAGATCCAAGAAGATCATTTGGTTTACTCCCACTTTCCACCGAATGGTTAAAACTAAACTAGAACATAAATTTCTAAACTTCATCAAAAAACATTTCCCCGACCCCGAAACGAACCCATTCAGTAAAATATTCAATCATAATACCCTTAAATTAAGCTATAGTTGTGCGGATACACTGGAGAAAATAATTACTAAACATAATAACACCAAGTATAAGGACTCAAAAAACTTGACTACTTGCCATGTTGCAACGAGTACAACTAAGTATAATGACACAAATAACAGCTTGTGCAATTGTAGGAATCCAAATAATTGTCCATTACAGAATAATTGTTTGACTAGTTCTCTAGGTATAATTTCTACATTAGAAAACCCCAATATTAAAAAAAATTACATTGTAAATACTATGAATGCATTCAAAGAACGTAAGCGGAGAAATGTGCAATCTTTCAATAGTAGTAATTAGTACAAGAATTCATTATCCAAGTACTTTTGGAGTTTAAAGGAGAAAAACAAGACACCTACTGTTAAATGGAAATTAATCAAGAGGGCTTGAACATGTAATTCCCTATATGCCCCTTGTCTTAACTAAAATTTTAAATACTTAGATTTAAAGACAAGACCCATTTCTTAAATCAAAGAAATGAACTCACTGTTTACTGTAAACACAGATATAAATTTACCTTACTATAGGGGTAGTAATACTTTCGAAGATAAGGCTATGTTACTGTAAGTTTAGTATGTTATTACTTTTATTACCTGATAATCCTCCTATCGATGTAAATATATGTTGGTATAAATATACTGTTGTTTGTGCCTGCACATGTGTATAATTTTATTGATAGATGTATGTATATATATATATATATATGTGTGTGTGTGTGTGTGTGTGTGTGTGTGTGTGTGTGTGTGTGTGTGTTTTTCATAAAAAATATATATGTGTGTATATATATATTTGTATTTGTGTGTATGTATGTATATGTTTATGTGTGTGTGGGTATATATATATATATATATATATATATATATATATATATATATGTGTGTGTGTGTGTGTGTGTGTGTGTAGTTGTGTGTGTTTGTATGTATATATGAATATATCTGTACTTGTAGTTTGTATATATATATATATATATATATATATATATATATATATATCTGTATTGATACCTGTTATATATATGTGCTTGTTTATATATTTATGCGCTTGCATGTGTATGAGTGTGTAAACTTATGTACGTATATGCATGCATATGTGTGTATATATGCATATGTATATATATATATATATATATGTGTGTGTGTGTGTGTGTGTGTGTGTGTGTGTGTGTGTGTGTGTATATATATATATATATATATATATATGTGTGTGTTTTATATATATGTATATATATATATATATATATATATATATATATATATATATATATATATATATGGTCTATGTGTATATCTTGCATATATATTTGTATATTTTAATGTTTTGGAATGTATCATCAATGCTAACAAAAATCTACTTTTGTTTTATAATAGTTTTATAATTGCTTGTGGATTTATTAGTCAACAGTTGTGTTTTGTTACATTTTAATCTTGTATGGACTTTACAGTCCTTTATTGCCATTTGGATAATATTGTTAGTATATGTGTAGTTTTATGTATGTATATATGTTTGCATATATGTGTGTGTATATATATATGTATATAGATGTGTTTATGTATATGTATGTGTTTATATATATATATATATATGTGTGTGTGTGTGTGTGTGTGTGTGTGTGTGTGTGTGTGTATGTATGTATGTATGTATATGTTTGTGTATGTGTGTGCATATATATATACACTTTTCTATGTTGCTGTGTAGGTTAATATATTTATACTTATTTCTATGTGTATATACGCATATGCGTATATGTGTATGTATGTGTGTATGTATATATATGTGTATATACAGGTATATATATATGTATATGGGTATATGTATATATATGTGTATGTGCGTAGGTATGCTTTTGTATGTTTCTATCTGTAGTGCAGAATGTGTGTACACATATTTATGTATGTATATTTTATATTTTTTTCACATATTTTTATATTATTGTACTCGTGTATGTGTACTAATGCGTATATAAGTATATATGACATATTTACATATGTGTGCTTAGGAGTTTTCTTTTTTATATGTCGTTTTATTTTTAAGTATTACATTTTGCCTGGACATTTGAATTTGTTTTTTCTTATTTTTTTGTGCGTATATATTTATTTTTCTATCTATTTCTATATGTTTTAGTGTCTTTTTTCCTTATGTTGTTCATTGACGAATATTTGTTTTTCGATTCTATCCATATTAAATGTTATCTATTCAAGCATTTTATCTATATATCTTTGTCCGTATAAGTTATATTTTAATAGTATGTTTGAATTCGTTTACTAACACTTTCAAACTTGAGTATTTCTTGGTGTGTATATGTGCGTGTCTTTATCAATGTATGTGTGTAAAATCGCTTATATGTGCTTTTAATTGTATGTATATGTTGTCAGTTTTTTTAAGGGCCGTAGACACCTATTTCCTGTTACGTCGCTTTTTTCGTGTTTATTTGTGTGATTGTGCATGCATTGTCTTTTACAA